ACACCTCTCCTTGATATGCCACCTTTATTTCCTCATCAAAATATTTTCACAGAATAATTTCAAATAAATCGCAGCCATTGAAATTATTATCGATACAAAATTATTTCTTTTAAAACTTCCTTTTTATGATAAAATAACATTTCTCATCGAAAACACAACATTACATCAAATCTGGTCAATTTTGACTTAGCCGGACTTCAAATCCGGTCAACTATCCGGACAACACATAGCATAAGCTTTATCCGGTTAACACTTAGAATTAATTCCAACTTTGTCAGGATAACAAGTCCGGACAACACCTCGCATAATGTAACACTTAGAATCAAAATCAACATCTTTGTTCGGATAACAAGTCCGGTCAATACCCCGCTCATTACTTGGCCGATTTAAAATAATCCGGCCACCATTTGGTCGTATTCTTACTTCTCAGTGTAAAAAGATAATCATTCTTACCAATCATAATCCGATCAACACTTAACCGATTTAAGACAATCTGGACAATACATCGATTAACTTTTGTCCGATTTAAAACAATCCGGACAATACATTGTTTAAGCCTTGTCCGATTTAAAACAATCCGATCAAACCCTGTCCGGTTTAATATCCAGATAAAATACTTAGACAAAAGACTGATTTCTTTCCAACATAAACAAGATTCATACAAAACCAATAATAATTTTTATGCAAAAGAGTTAAGAAATTACTCACCTTATCAAGCTTTTGAAATCAAACACTTTGAGATTAACTTGAATCTGCAAACAGAATTAATCCGGCCAACTCTCTTCTTTCTTTAAATTGCACAACTTATCAAAAAGACCAGAAGAAGAAATATGGAGGCTATGCCCTCCTTTTATACTTTCCAAATCAGGAAAGTCAGCAACTTACACCGCCATATGCATGCATACATACACCATGTATACATATATATATATATATAGACTTSGGATCATGTGAGACCAAGTCTTTTCCGTAAGACCCGCGAGACCAACTTATATCCGTTAGATTTGATCAACAAGTTGATCAATGGTCTGAAGGCGTCCAATGGCAGTTTTGTAATTATTGATGAATATGGTGGCGTTTTATGAAGATTGAAAGTTCGTATATGTTAGAAGTTTGAATCTTCATTCATGAAAACACCTCCAGGCGCGAACTGATTCTCCATTGAAGGCTTACCCATAGCAAACTTTTGTTCATCGATTTGAAGGCTAAATTTATGTTGGTAAGTAACAAAACTTAGGTTTTCTTTTTGATTGAAGGCGCGAACTGATTACATTGTGTTGTTCTTCTTCTTCGTCTTCTTTTATTTTCTATTTTGTCAATTTAGTATAACCACTGTGATTTTCAATCTTAATCTCTTTACTAATCGGAAGCGTCTTCAAACTCCAGAGGCGAACTGTGATTATCGAGAAGTGATTCGCCATTGAAGGTTTACCCATAGCGAACTTTGCTCACCGATTGGATGCTAAATTTCTGTTGGTAAGTAACAAAACTTTAGGTTTTCTTTTTGATTAAACTCCTGTTGCGAACTGTGATTCTCGATTGAAGGCTTTTACCTATATCGAACTTTGATTCTCTATTAGAGGCTAAATTTATGTGGGTAATTAACTAAGATTAGATTTTCTTTTTGATGAATTGTATTATTCTCCTTCTTGATGTTCTGTTCTAATGGATTCCAAGTTCAAACCCTAGTTTCATATTCATGTTATGACCATTGTTGACCAATGTTGACTTGTATGTAGAATATACGAAACTTTTTCATTAGAAACAATAGTAACTAGTTTTTGTACTTATGTTTTATTTATTTTTTATTTCTTCAGACATGGCAAAAAAGAAAATAGGAAAATGCCATTAACAAAAAAGCTTGTTGCCAAGCTAAGAAGTAACCCAAAGGGAACTTTTACTACAGAAGATGAAAATGAGATGAATATTGAAGGTAACAATTGAATGAACATTTTAYATTTGATGTTTTGCCTTATTAATAATTTCTGCTTTGTTTTACTTATCATTTCTGCTTTGTTTTACTTATTAATGATCAAAAGTGGAGACCCCATTCTTGTAACTAAATTACTATAAATATCAGCTACTTTCTGGCTATAATAAGGGAGAGTGAGAAAGTTGTCGTGAACTGTGTAAACAGGTGCCTTCAGATAAAGCATAACTTCCACTACTTTCATAGCAATAAAGGCATCCTTCTGATGGATGAAGTTGACGAAGGTTGAGACCCCAGTCTTCTTGCTATCACGCTTATCAGTAGAGATTCTCAGACTGACTTTTCTTCTCTTTTTATGCAATTTATCATATACCCAAATATTAATTGATTCCATCTGCATATAGTCTTGGATTGTAGTATAATAATCCACACTATACTGAACAGGGCGACCACAAGATGATGCTACCCAGCCTATACTACGGATCAATCTGATTAGACAATCCATGTTATGATATTTCACTTTCCAGAACTTAAAGCAGATTTTAGCCAGATCAAAGCACTCTTTTTGAGTCAGATATTGAGATAGATACCCCTTGATATCGCTAGCTGTACTCATCACTGTTTTACCATAGATTATAGGCATAAAGATACCTTTCACCATCTTTCTAGTGATTGAACTACAAATGAGAACTGAGAGATTACTATCGCATAGTTCATTTTGGATGAATGGTTTCAGTTCATTAAGGATACAAAGATAAAGATCCTGTATTTCACCATTCTCTGATGGAATTAGATTCGTACGCCTTGCAATACACTCATCCATTAAGAAATATGACATTATTTGATACGCACTGGCTGATGCATCATGTGTAATGGGTATACACATTTTTGAATCATTATCCTTAGATAGTTCCATTAAGACTATATTTGATAAGAACTGAAATGGACGTTTAGCACCACTAGCATAATTGATTAAAGATATAGGGGAATTGGTATCTGTATGAATTAGAAATGATTCACACCAATCTACTACAGCTGATTGACTGATGAATGACTTATAGTGGTAGCATGTAGCTAATGCTGTTATAGGAGCGCAAGCAGGGCTATTGTTAGAATCAGCAAATTGTATAAAACTCCTTGCAAGATCGCGCTCATGGAAGTGTAAGAGTCCACTCCGGTAGATTCGACCACGGAAGTCCAGAAATGCTGGTAAATAAAATTTATAACCCTCATATGCTATTGACAAATCTATTATCAATGACTCATAACGAGCTTGCTGAATGTCCTTGTGTAATCCTTGTAACATCTCATTGAATGTAAAGTGATATATGAATCATTAATGTATGAATCACGAAGTAGACTTGTAGCGTCTTTCACATTTATATATGAAAGAAAATGTGGCATGAGTAAACCATAACTTACAAATAATGAATAATTCTTATCTATATAATTTAACCACTCCTTTTTTATCCTAAATGCTTGATTTTGTAATGCATTCATTATATTGCATAGCGCTGTTTGGATTATGAATATTTATATAAAAATGATTGATGTTATTAGTACTCAATAGCTTGTAACGATCATAAAATTCTATACTAGGACTTGTTAAGTAACCTCCTCTTAGATCTGAAAACGTTCTAGGTATCTTATCACCTGGTAATGCACTTTCCCAATCTAATGGTGGGTGTATCATAGGTAGGAGCCACACATGGTTATTTAGTAATAAAAAAGAGAATATATATCTACATTTTGTGTAGAAAATCTGTATACCGGTTTGTTTTATCTTTCTTATTTGAACCTTCACAACAGGCATGCTGTGAAGGATGTTGGGCAGATCATGGTTTGCTACACAATAGCCATGTCCATACATAAATTAACCATGACAATAACACTTCTAGAACTGTTCACATCATATCATAACCATAATCGTAACCCTTCTTGAATTGTACACACCATATCATTTTATGTGGATGTTGGGCAAGACATGGATAGCTTCACACTAGCCATGATAGAACCAAAACCATATCACAGTGTTCTTGCTAACTGTCTAGCTGAATAGCAGCTACCTGTCTACCTGTCCTTAATAGCATAAAGTAGAGAATCCAGAGCTAAGAAAGATAAGTAGACCATTCTGACATTTATGACATTCTGGATTCTCTATTTATAGCTTTTTCAGAAAGTAGATCATCTATGTGGATGTTGGGCAAGACATGGATAGCTTCACACTAGCCATGTCAAAACCAAAACCATATCACAGTGTTCTTGCTACATGTCTAGCTGAATAGTAGTGCCTAAAATCAAGTGATAGCAGTGCCTAAAATCAAGTGATTCTCAATAACCCAACAACAGTAGTCGATTCTCAACAACATTCACAGTGTTCTCAAAACAGTAGCCGATTCTCAATAACCCAACAACAGTTTGCCAGGCTATTGAACGAAACAGTCTCAATAGTAAACAAATATCTGGGAAAACAACACCCAAAGTGGAACAGAATAACCAAGGGTTGTAGCAGACTCACAGTTCTTGCAAACCAGCCTTTAGACGATCACAATCCAAACACCAAACAAAGCTGGTCTGTTCTAAGCCAACAACAGAAAAACACTCAGCTGACAGTTCAATGCCAAACAGCAGCTACCTGTAGTGTAAAAACAGTAGTAACAGCAGCTGAATAGGAGTGCCTAAAATCAGCTGAATAGCAGCTACCTGTCTATCTGTCCTTAATAGCAGAACCTTAGTCGATAGAGACAGGATACTCAAAACCAGCAGCAGCGAGTCTAAGCAAACAACTGCCTTAAATTCACAATCCAGCCAAAAAACCAAGCAGCAAGTATTGAGTAAATTCAAAATAAGGATAAACCAGCCAATCTGGTTACGCCGAACAGACCAACCCAATCAAAACTAGATAAAAAGAACTATATCTTAATACTCACTGCTGAACAAAGCAAAACAAATTAAAATAGAAATTAGGGGGTGATTTTATGGAACGAACCAAAGAAACACAGACCCTCAAAAGGAAAGCGTCCGTGAGCGATGCTCGAACCTTTAATCAAAAACAAATAGTGTTGAAACCTTCACAAAAAACTAATCTCATGGATGTTGAAACCTCATTCTCAAGTCAACACATGGTCTCAAAAAGGATTTTACGTTCAAGGATTCTTAAGCCTTTATCTGCTGAAGAAGCAGGTAATGTTTAATATAAACCTGCCTTTACAATTCTCTTATGGTAGCAAAGCATTATAAGTTTATTATGTTTTGTAGATAATGATGTGAGTTTGATGGATGTTGAAACCTCATCCTCAAGTCAACCCATGGTCTCAAAAAGGATTTTACGTTCAAGGATTCTTAAGCCTTTACCTGCTGAAGAAGCAGGTAATGTATAATATAAACCTGCCTTTACATTTCTCTTATGGTAGCAAAGCATTATAAGTTTATTATGTTTTGTAGATAATGATGTGAGTTTGATGGATGTTGAAACCTCATCCTCAAGTCAACGCATGGTCTCAAAAAGGATTTTACGTCCAAGGATTCTTAAGCCTTTACCTGCTGAAGAAACAGGTAATGTTTAATATAAACCTTCACAGTCAGCTTGCAGTGAAGGTAGTGTTTTTTTTTTAATGAAATGCAAGTTGTATAACTTTATTCTCTTTTCTTCTAAACAACCTTCTGAAGTTCAAAAAAGGAAGTCCACACATACTACAAAGAATGAAAACAATTCAAAGTTGGCTAGGGTTGCAAATGAAGTTGAAGATGAGGTAGTTCAGGTTTTKAGAACAAGGAGTTCTCCTCTTCAATTATGTTTGGCAATTCAAAACTTTCAAGTAGAGCAGAGAAAGTCTGTTACAG